TTTCCATCGTGGCCTTGCGGCTGCGAGCCCAGCCCCGGCATACGGAGCAGCTGCTGGCCCCGAGTGAGTTTCCACCAAACTCCTGTAGCCTGGATATGAAGTGTAGCTGCTTTTGACCAGCTCTGCTGTGAAATCTTGGGAAAGATGTTTGTTTGCCTAGCTGGTGCTCAGGAAGGCAGCTTTGGGTGGTATTTGCAGAGCTGCTCCCGGTGGGTCTGTGCTTTGTGGGACCCCCTGGTTGTGGATGGGAGGTGTGGATGTGATGCATGTAGGAATGGAGGGTAAGGAGATTTTTGGATTTTTAGTTCCCTTTTACAGAGAAAAATCTGGGCCATTCAAATAATTTGCCTTTTCGCTTGTGCTGACAATTTAACAGCCTTTTTAAAAGCTTTGGTTTCTCTCAAGTATGCTCACCCCATACTTGTTTTAATTCTTGTGTGGAGGCCTGGAGCTTAACAATTATTTTGCTTAAGCTCTCTGAGACTTGCCATAAAACTTTTTTTTCTTTTTTTCTTTTTTTTTTTTTTTTTAAACACACACATGCTAATGATCCCCATCAGATCATATTGTTAAACAGGGAATAAAATACTTGCACCAGGATGACATTATTTTAAAAAAATGTTAAAAGCAGGCCAGCAGAGCCCATTTCAACAGTTTGACTCTGAAATAATTTGCACAGATTTGTTAGAGTTAATTTGTTGAAAAGTTCAGTGTTTGTACAGGCAAGTCCTAATTTCCACGCTGAGACACAAGAAGCAGGAGAGGAGTAAGTGGGTGTCCAGCATTTTCAAGAGCAGGATGGTGGGAACTTCCCTCCCTCCTACCCTTCTCCCCTGGTGCAGGAATGTAAAAGCAGTGTCAGAAGGCTGGGAAAGTCAGCGTTGGATTTTTGTGGACTCCTTGCAAATCAGAGGAACCGTCTGGCTCAAATCTGCATTTAGGGCCAAGAGAAAAGGATTTCCTGCTATTTAGTTGCTTGAGGAAGGAAAGGATTTACCTCTCCGCTGTAACAGGACTTTAATTTTTCTCCATTTTAATAAGAATATTGTAACGCAGGGCAGCAGTAGTAAACCTGTGAAAGCAATCACGTCTCTTCCCCCTCTTCCCTCACGTTCCTCAACTCCCCCCTCCTTGCCCAAGCATCCTCCTGTCGCAGCTCCCAGCCCCGGCCATGGCTTGGCATCTCCCTCCACTGTGAAAGAGAGAGTTGTGGAGGGGGCGGCTGCTGCGACGTCGCTCCCTCGGACGGCTGCCGCGCTCAGCCCGCCATCTGGATCCAGTTAGCTCTCTCGGCAGTAGGGCTGAGTCTCATTTCCTCCAACCAGTAATGTTATATAGGCAGTGATCCTGTTCTGCCCTAACATAATTGAAAATTATGTGTATTGTAGACTCGCAGCGCTGAAATGTAGACTTGTAAAAATCTGTGGCTCAGGTAGCCTGTGGAGATTGAATTTGGCACACAATGAAGCTTTTATGTAAAGTAAGAATTATAAGCCACCACATCAATATTGTGTTACAGGCATGACAATTCTTGGATGAGGAGGCCTTGAGTCAGGCTCGTCACCTTAAACAATGCTAATATTTCATACTTTATCAACTGGACTGGCATTTTGAAACCAGCAAATTTAACTTTTTTAATTTAGCAAACGTCCCAGTGTTGAAGCTGTGGGTTCCCTAGCTTGACACAGGCATTGGCTGTGGGCTCTGACCCCCTCTGGTTATTTGACAGACAGAACTTTTTGCCCTTGGCAGGACAGGGATGCTGCTCTGGATCCGGGCCACTTAGTAGAGCTCATGGAAGTTGCTTTGTCAACCCCTTGTGTGTTACTACTTTCCCTTGGGTGTGGTTATTTGGTTTTATTTTGTCTCCCACTGGTGTGTTATCCAGTGGTGGAAATGGAAGCTGTCCAGGTCTGTGCTTATGTGCAAAACTGAACCCTCTGGGTTTGGACCATTTTCTGCTGAACTTCTTGTGCATGTCCAAGAGAAGAAACTGTTCGTGCTTTAGCCTTTGCACTGTAAGACTTCTTGGATCCTCTTTGGCAAGGGGGGGTAAGAGAATGACTTTACTGAGAATCCAGACTAAAGGTTTTAAAAGGAGAAAAAGTGTAACAATAAGATCTTCTGAAACCTTAGGTCAGCTTGGTGTGGGAGCTGAAAGTATGTGCTGAAACTGTGGGCTCTTGTGAGGTGAAGGTGGAGTGGGAGCAACCATACCTTTGTGCTCTGTTTCTTCTAATGGAATTTATTGCTAGTAAAAGCCAGCAGAACTGACCGTCCTGAAAGCTTTGTAATCCCTGCAATAATTACTGACTGGATGGGGTCTGATGTGAGCTTGCCCCTGCTGCTTGTCAAGGCCTCTGTCTGCCCTTGGGGCAGTCTCAGAGAAGCTCATGTGTCTCTTGGCTTGTGTTTTAGGGTAGCTGCTGATCTGAGTTCCTTGTGGATTGTCACGGTTGATATTCCAGGGTGGCTTGTGACCATGGAATGGTCATGGACAAATTAAGGTGGTTGGTTTATATTGGTGGTTAATAAGCTTGGCCATTTCCTGAAATGCCTCCGTTAGAGCTGTCGGGTTCTTATAAGGGTTTCAGCTGTGGTGGCAGTAGCTTCTCACTGTCCAGAATGGTTATGGACTTTGAAACAGTTGTACACCGTGCAGCACACATCCTGTGAGGATGTTTTCATTGGAAAAAGGGAAGAATACTTCACTGGTAGGTTGGAAAACCTGAGGAAGCGGGTAGAAGCCGTGACCTATCAGGACCCTTTCTGCAAGTTCGTGTGCCCTTCTATGTCGTGGTGTTTCAATTGCTGTCCAAGAAAACTGATGGACTTCTGAAAATGCAGCAGTTGACTTATTTAAGAGTGCCATCTGCAAATCTGAAACATATCACATTTCCCCTCGAGTTAAAAAGCTCTCAGTTGGTGTAGGTCTCGGGTCCATTTTCTGCGCACTCGGGTTGGATTTTTATGTACTTTTTTTAAACCACAAAGGGTTAGAAAGTTGCTTTAACATCATCTCAACTTTAAAATTTATGTTGTGGTCACATATATTGAGGAACAGGGATTTGATGCAAGTGATCAAATATCTGGAGGCTTACAGTTGAGTCGTAAGAGTTAGACATGTCGCTTATGGGTAGACTACTTCTGGTTTGTTTGGGTTTTATTTCTTGTTTTTAAGAAGTGCTGAAACATTCTGGTCCACATTGCACAAATCCCAAATGTGAAGATGAATAAAAACAAGACTTCTTGGAACTTGAGGAACTCATATGGGGCACAAATCCAGAGTATGGGTTTGTTTATTTGCATTCCAGTAGTTCAGAAAACTCAGGCCCTCCAAGCGATGGGAATTGGTAATGCATCCTCCTGCTGACTCCTGCTTTTTGGGCACCTCAGTGCCCAGAGTCTTGCAGCAAACAGACCTTGTATGTGAGCAAATGTTTTGCATACGTGAGCAAATGTGATAGTGATGTGCTGAAAGCATGGAACCAGATCTCCTTCCTTCCTTCATGGAGATTTAGATACAGCTTCCGTTTTTCGCCTGGGGTGGCAGGGAGTTGTTTGTGTGTGGTGGTTCTTCAAGATTGCTCTTACTTCCAAAAAAAAAAAAAAAAAAAAGAATTGGTAAACATAACTAGGTATTTTCTAGGAATAGATCTGTCAGGTCAACCAGAGTCTAATGCTAAACAGGAGCTTCTGCCGTGGCCTGATCTATGTGTACAGCTGCTTTTCTTAGTTCTGGGAGGGGGGCTGAAGGTATGTGGCTGTACACATTTCTTCCAGCACGATACAGGGCTTTCAGAGGTCATGTATTAACCTGTGTGCCTAATTGGGACTGCACAGCACCATGCAGAGAGAAAAGCTTGGGCTGAAATTACATTTAGACATACAGTGCAGAAGTCTGTTTGGGCTGACTGGTTTCTCTGTGGGCCTGCTCTTGTTCTCTTGTTTGGAGTCAAGCACTTCTGGTGCAGCGATCTGGGTACCAACTTGAGACTTCACCCTTTGGGTGGATGCCTTGAGCTCTGCTGTGTGATCCAGCTGAGGTGCAGTGGCTCCTCCGGTGAGATACAGCAAGAGGACGTGCTTGAGAGCAGAAGTTTTAGGCAGTACTTGATGCTGGTTAAATCTGTGGGAACATTCTGCTCCTTCTTGAAGAGTAGCTAAGCTTTTCTTGCTTTCAAATCAACACCCCCTTCTTGCCGCCTGCGTGTATTTGGCCTGTGTGCTGATGGCTGTGACATAAAGAAGTTGTGGCTGTCCCTGAGCTCTTGGCCATCACAGCTGGACCTGAGCACACGAGGCTGTACTCCTACCTTGGAATCAGCAATAAGAGGGCTTATTAAGTTTGGCCTTGTTGTTGAGTAAGTTATCCTGTGCAAGTCCCTTAAGGGGTTGTCTGACAGAAGGTATACAAGAAGAAAATAATCCACAGTGACTTCCAGAAACAGAAGTAGAGAAAACAGGTGCCCAGAGGTGCTGAGTTATTTTGGGGTAGACCTCTGCCTTTGAGGCTCGTGCAACGCAGGGAAGCTCAAACAGTTTACGTGGTGCCTTTGTAGAAAGAAGGCTGACAGGTGACCCATTCAGTAATGAGATCATATTCTTAACCCATGATATGTATTTTCCCTCTTCTGAGACTGATATCCACCTTCCTCTGCTTTGTCCCATCCTCTTCATGGTTGTGATGTTATGTTTCTGTGTGGGTTTTATTCTTATAGATTTGCTACAGTTAGTAAAATCAATGTAATAATGTCTTTGCAATTTGTTTTTGGTTTTTTTTAAAAGTTATTCCTGAACTGTAATGCAGTGGTATGAATTGTTAGTTTTGCACAGATTTTGTCTTCACAAACATGTAAAGTTGTCTTAATTTTTGTTTCAGTTCCTTGCATAAGTTTTAATTTATACTTTTTTATCCATGTTACCTAAAATTTGTTATTTTTTTTGCCTTTATTTTCTGAACTCATTTTTCTTTCCCCATTTCTGTTTCCTCCATCCAGTATCTGCAGATGAAATGGCCACTGCTTGATGTTCAGGCAGGGAGCCTTCAGAGTAGACAAGCCCTCAAGGATGCTAGGTCTCCATCTCCAGCACACATTGTTGTAAGTAAACACAGAAAGATGTTCTTCCTTTGTTTAAAAAAAAAAAAAAAAAAGGCATTTGACATTAATGACATTGGTTGGCATCAGTTTTCTTTCACACAGACCAAAAGAGAAAAATACCTCAAACCAGACAAAATCCCTAATGAGTCCATGGTAAAAGGAGGGAATACATATGTTATTGCTGAGCTCTTTGTGAAATTATCATCCATGTACCTTGCAGGAGAGCAGAGGGTCAAAAATGCTCTAAATTCGCAGAATTACTTAGTGGCAGTGAGATCCGATCAGGCTGGTTTACACGTCTGACAGTATTGAAATGAAGAGAGTGAAGAGACAGTCTGGAAAGCATTAGAAAAACCAAAACCAAGCCTGTTCTGTGACCTAAACTGAAAGAAGTATTTTCTTATTGCAAAATCCTGAATGAAGGTGTGTGAGTCGGTCAGCATTTTACGTGGGTGAAGGCTCAACAGAGCTGCGTTCAACAAAGCCCGTGTCCCTTCCTGTTGTGATGACTTCTCATTTAGTATAAAAAGTGTTATTGAATATTTACTACTACTTGCTACTCTTTATAACGAGCATAATTTTTAAAAATAGCTTTATTTATTAAGTTTTAACAGAATTTTCAATTCTTGGTTAATTTTTCTTGTGCTTCTATTGTAAAAACAATGTTGAGTTTGTAACGTTTGGTAGAAACTTACATGAGAGTGGTTTTATTTTACTTTCTAAAATAGCATCCACAGATGGAAATTTTTTGTTTTCATGGTGATGTGCAAGAGAGGTGATATGCAATGACCCGTTTTCACCCATATCCAGTGTCAGTGCCATCTCAGCTCTGAGTGTTTATCTGGGAAATTTACCTCTGGAGAAGATGGCATGTAGTGGGTTAGAATATTTCTTCTGAAATAACTCATCATCAAGTTTTACATGATTTTTTTTCTACTTTTTTATAACCATTGGATGATAAGGTGAATCCCAGGAAAAGAAACATTGCTTGTTCTTTATCTTTTGCTCTACAGTCTAAAGCTGACATAGCTGGTAGGTTATCCAAGACACATACTGGTTTTGTTAGAAATCTCAAGTCGTACTAAACATTTTTGAGGAGCTTCTTTTTTCATTTTTGTCTCCTTAAATTGAGAATCATTAGCCCTTTGCTATGAGTGTCATAGTTCTTTATTTAAAAAGAAAAAAAAAAAAAGGTTTCCTGTCTTTTAGAATCCACAGCTTCTAAACCATCCCTCAATCCATCAGAGAGCAATCGGAACAGGACTGCTATTTGCCCAGTTGGTATCTAGTGCTGGCTACTTCACTTTTTTTCAGAAGGAATTTTCCTTTTCCTTCCCTGGGCTGTCACTGGAGGAAGAGATCAGAGAAAAGATGTGTGGCTGATTACTCAGAAATCTGCATTCATCAAAACCTGCTATAATCTTACTCTTAATAAGAAATGAACTAGAGTCACTCTCTTACTTTAATTATTTTCTTTTTTTTTTGCTGCTGTGGTAGAGGACTGACACAGGGGATAGGAATGTTCCTGGGGCTCTGGAGCTGGTGCGATGGAGTGGTGTCAGGCTCATAGGAGGTGATGGAGAGGGAGCAGGAGATTTCTCCTGGCTGGTTGCATCCTGGGAGGACAGGCTGAGTTTGGTTGGGATCACCTGACTTCCTGCTGTCCCAAAGCCTCTTTCCACTCAGGAGAGCAGGCACTTGCCTTTAAAAGCCAAAGCAGCTTATCCTACAGGGGCAAGTTGGTTGGGATCCTGTTCCCCCCAGCCTTTCCAGCCGGGTGTGGGCAAGGGGGAGACGAATGGTCAACACAAATAACACCAAAAAAAGGGTTCAAAAATCACAAATCATTTTGGAAAGTGAAGCGAAACCTGCTTCCAGGGAGACTGAGGTTGATCTGCTTTGTATTTTGACCATTTATGGGGTTCTTATGGGTCTCTTTAAGAGCTGTTTCACTCTGCTATTCAGTAAAAAGCATATTTACCATAGCAACCACTTAGGCCATGAGGAACATATACTACCTCCGAGATGGAGGCCACCTTCCGAAAGAGCCACAGCTGGCATTTGTAATGTGATCTTTTGTGCTACTTATAATGTTGGAGGGAGAGGAGGCGGAGGAGGGAGCCAGGGGGAGAGCAGTGTTTTTTTTTTTTTTTTTTTTTTTTTTTTTTTTTTTTTTGGGGGGTGGGGGGGGTGGAGGTTCTGCACGGTTTAATGTTTATTTCTAGCAGCAAACTGTTTCGCCTTGTTCTGTTAAAACATATAAATAAGGGATAGCTTTTTCCACCCTTTTTCTTGGCATCCACCCCAGGCCACATTAATTTTGTGGAGTGAAAATGGTCTTGTTTTTTGGTAAATAAAGTTAGAGTGGGTAATGGCATTCGGGGGAGATGAAGTGGCTGCAGATGCCAGTTGGCCTGGGATGTGTCAGGCATCTCTGGTGTCCCTGTTGCTGCTGCTGTGCCTGCCCACAGCACCTGGGACCTGGCTTGCAAAAGGCTCTACACCCGTTTCTGCATTTGTGAAAACGTGATTAATCTTTTTATGGAAAAATGAGGGATATTTTATGGGCATGCTGATGTTTCTGTGCCAGTGTAGTGTGTAGGGATAGAAACTGGTTCTCTACTCTCATTACTGTGTTTTGTCTACCCATCAAGTGTACCTTTGCCAGTTTTTCATCTTTAAATCAGTTGAACTGCCCTGAAGATCTGTAGGAAAATGCTAACATCGGCAGATCACTTCTTATCTTTCCTCTATATCTGAAATCAGGATTTGAGACCAATCCTTATAGCTGGATTACAAAGGGAGGAAAGGAGAGTGTGGGGGCTTGGGGTTTTCTTTCTTTTTTCTTTTCTTTCTTTTCCCTCCTCTCTTTTCTCTCTCTCCTTTCTCTCTTTCTCTCCTTTCTCTCTTTCTCTCTCTCTCTCCTTTCTCTCTTTCTCTCTCTCTCTCCTTTCTCTCTTTCTCTCCTTTCTCTCTCTCTCTCCTTTCTCTCTCTCTCTCTCCTTTCTCTCTCTCTCTCTCTCTCTCTCCTTTCTCTCTCTCTCTCTCTCTCTCCTTTCTCTCTCTCTCTCTCTCCTTTCTCTCTCTCTCTCTCCTTTCTCTCTCTCTCTC